CCACCACCTGAGGAGCTGTCTCAATCAGTTCCTCCCTGGTGAACCACCGATCTTCTTTGGGATCTGTGTGATGCCTGAATCTGACGCGATATTCTCTCTTGGGTTTAGGAGGTCTTCCTCGACCCAGCGGCTTTGCAACAGGCATATCCCTGTGATCCACAATGTCGTCGATGTCGACTTGTCCATCCATGGTTGGGGGCAGCATTGATCTCCTGGAAGGGAATTGATCAGTCTCAGCGAAAGGTGCAAGCTTTGAGGCATGAAAGAGTGGGTGAGTGCGTAGGTGTCCAGGGACACGAATGACATATGTGGGACCATCCAACTCATCCCCCACTACATCCAAGACTTCCCAGGGACCAAAGTACTAAGGCATTAGTTTACGAGATATTCCGAACTCCTGTCCTAACTCACTAGCCTTGACCCAGACACGTTCCCCTACCTGAAATGTGGACTGTCTGCGATGTTGATTCTCATAAGCAATCATGGCTTGCTGAGCTTTCTTCATATGTTCAACAGCCTCTTGCAGCAACTTCTCATATTGCACACCGTATTCAAGTGTGCCTGGAGTTGCAGCGGGTCAATTTTCAGGTAGGAGGAAGTCTAGTGCTGATCTAGGCTTCCATCCTAAGTGCAGCTGGTTAGGATTAACACCGGTACTGCTATGTATAGCATTGTTGTATAGCTAGCGATGAGAGGTAACTGCTCATCCCAGTCATCCTGGTTGGGCTTGATGTAATGCCTCAGAAAGTGCTGTACAACTCTATTCATTTGTTCGGCCTGTCCGTTGGCTTCGGGATGATTCCTTGAAGTCATCTGAAGTTGACTGCCCATCTGTTCCACAGTCTTCTTCCACAGCTCACTTGTGAATCGGACGTCTCAGTCACTAATGATGGTCTTTGGTAAACCAAAGTCCCTTACCCAGTTGTCCTTGAACAACTTGATGACGTATTCTGTCCTGGCTGTCTCTGGCATTGGTACTAGTCTAGCATACTTGGTGAATCGGTCAATGATGACGAAAATGTGCCTCTTACCACTCTTGCTGGTCACTAGGGTGTCCATGAAATCCATGGAAACACTCAATCCTGGACCATCAGAAATAGGTAAAGGCTTCAACAACCCAAGCGGGGCTTGAGTTCGTGGCTTGTCCCGCTGACAGACCTGACAGGTCTTAACATACTTCTTTGCGTCATGTAGCATTCTGGGCCACCAGAATCGCTGTACTAAGTTAGCACTCGTCTTCTTGTAGCCAAAGTGCCCAGTTGCATCATGACATTCGCCTAAAAATAAACTACGCAACTGTTCACTAGATGGAAATACCAATCTCTTTATCCCGGCCTTATCAAGATAGATTAGCCCGTCCATCATCACAAACTCACTTTCTGTGGCCTTGTCTTTTGCTTGAAGTTTGCGGATGATGTCCATCGTGACAGGGTCTTCCTGATAGGCTCCCACCAATGATTGAGTTACTTCATTAGATATGCCAAATTCAGAAACTAGCGCACCTAGGTAGTTTGCTCTACTGGATAGCGCGTCTGCAACCTTGTTGTGCTCTCCCTTCAGGTACTCAAGCTTGAAGTCATATTGGTCTATGACCTCAATCCATCGCTTGAGTGCATCAGAAAGAGCC